GGGATTCTCTGGATCTGGTTAACTCCCAGCCCCCGTCCCACCCCTGTCTCTCATGTTTCTATCCACAAATAACTAACTGCACTGGAAAAGTCACATTTCTTCCCCCTTTGATATCTATAGACAAGTGGCCCAAGTCATCCAGATGGAAATTCTTGTTTTCAAACTGCTGATGTCCTGGTTAAAAAATACTTTGACTTCTTTGCAACTAAGCTTCCCAGAGGTATGTTGGAGAAAACAAAAACCCCAACGGTCTCAAAGCAAAATAAAAATAGAAAAATTGTTTGTGCTGGGGGCGGGAGGTTGTTTGGTTTGGTGTCTTTTTTCTTGCTAATGTGAAAAAAGCAAACATCTTCCAGACCTCAACAGCCTCTTCATTTAGTACTAGAGCATTGGTGTGAGCTGCCAGGAATCACCAAGCTGCCAACACCTCCATCTCCATCCATCAAATTTCTGTCTCTCCATGGAAAGAGGCCAGCGTGTCCCAAAACCGATGACCTCTTCCTTTCCACCTCCTGGGAAAAAAAGGCTTAGACTTGGGCAACTTGAGAGTAATCCAAGCGCCTTAATTCTGGTCTCGATTTCTGTTGGTGACGCCCTAGAGATTAATCTTGCCTCTTTTGGGGTGTTTCAGTCAAGAAGTTAAATGCTGTGCAAGTGTTGTGGATGTGGAAATCCAGGATAAGTCTCAGCTGGACTAGTGAAGTGAAGGATGCAGTTGGGTGATGTCTTGCTGTTGCAGCTGTGGGGCACCAGATGTAATCAGCTGTTTTCTGCTGAAAATTGCCTCCCCCACACAGAGCTTTTGAACCTCGTGTCTTTTGTAACAGGGTGAGATGCACAGAGGAAGAGGATTCACGCAAGTGCGTGACCCTTCTTTTCAGTCCCCACTGATGGTGCTGAACAGAGGTGGGATAGAGGCAGGCCTGAGCATCTGATGTCCTGGAGCACAGTTCTGACCTGAGATAGATCTCTCTTAGACAGATCATAACTTTGTTTCACCCCTAGTCTGGGATGAACCAGTCCTAGTCTGGTTCTCAAGCCGGAAAGCAGACTGAAAAAGCAGAACAATGGATCAGATCTGATTTCATAAGAATCTACACCAGAAAGAAAATGACGGAACTGGTATTTAACAGCTGGACCCATTCGCCACAAAGAAGAACACACACTGGGAACCTCCCCAGCATCACCACAGCAATGAGTTTTCAGCCAACGGTTCTTCATCTCCCGAGAATACGGATATCCAGCTGGCAGGACAGAACTAACTGCATCAACCCACCGGAGAAATATGTTCATAGAACAGAACAGAATATTTTTCAGTTGGAAGGGATCTACAATG